AGAGAGAGAGAGAGCCAGAGAGAAATATATATATGACGAGAGAGAGAGAGAGAGAGAGAGAGAGAGAGTGACAGAGAGAGAAATACAGATAAAGATAGAGTTAGTTTTATTATTCGTTCGTCGTCCTATATGTTTATCTGTTTTAACTTAGATAGATAGATAGATAGATAGATAGATAGATAGATAGATAGATAGATAGATTTGAAAAGACTGACGTTGATGAATATGAGACGAACGAAAAAGAGAGTGAGGGGAGACAACTGTGTACTGAGAGATTGATTCATATAAACAGACAGGTAAATAGATTGATCGGTCGATAGATAGAGAGGCAGACAGTGACAGAGATATATAGATAGCTACGCAGGCAAGCGGAAAAACAGGGAGACAGACGGGTTTTAAAACTCTTTAGAAATTAAGATATGACTTGAAAATCCATATGTAACGAAAACTATGATTAATTAAACTAACCGCAATCCCGGATGCAAAGCCGGATATTTTGTTTTGCAACCTCTGAATGCATCTCTGATCAGATATTTTCTTTCTTTATCAAATTAGAGCTGACTGATCTTTTGAAATTTGGCATTTATATCTATATTATATACATTTTTTTTATCTAAGTTCCTCGAGCGATGGAGAAGCATCCAACCCGGCGTTTCAAAATGTAAACAGAAAAAGTTGAAGGATAAAACAAGAGTGTTCGATCCCTACTCGTTACGATTTTTAAAAAAAAGTTATCAATCCGTTCTGTACTGATTAATCAAGTTAAAGAAATATTTGAATTTTTCAATTTGTTTTCTTTTTATAGAGCTGTTTTCTGTGAAATTGAGGTTTTATTCGTAAAATCCGTCACATTCTCTGATTAAAATCCACATTCTTTTTTTTTTATTGTTTTTTTTTATAAATGCCGCATCTAGTTATATTTCTTTCATACTTCTTTGGTTTTTCAATTGATGACATAAACAGATCAAATTTATAAGAAAAATTAAAGACAAAAAACAATTTTCTGTCTATGTAGTTTCATCTTATTAATATATTTATGTCAGATTTAAAAAAAAAAAAAAAGTTGTTTTTAATCATTTGCTCACCGATTATCAAGAAACCAACATAAACACATGGACTGTTACCTTTTTTTTTTCTTCTTTTTTTTTCGTAGAAGTTTGCGTACGTGTAATCGTGACGTTCGCTAAAATTAGGATTTTTCTATTTTCTTCTCTTTGTAATATGAAAGCGTGAGGTTATATGCGAATGCTTTTATTCCTTTGACAACAAATTCTACTTTGCATCTTTTTTTCTGTTAGTGTTTTATTTAAGTTTGTTTATTTGCTTTGACCACGAACGGGTTAAGCAAGGGTCAGAATGCAAATTCGAGAAGAGTGCATTGCCGATACTAAATAAAAATTGATGGTCTGTAAAAATTGTTCGCGAGTTTTAAACACAGGGGTAAACATTTTATATAGACTGGTTAAAACAAAATAACTGCGAAAGATCCAAGTCTAGCCGCACTTTTTATGAAAGACAGTATATATATATATATATATATATATATATATATATATATATATATATATATATGTATACATACACACACACACACACACATATATATATATATATATATATATATATATATATATATATATATATATATATATATATAATGATTAATCCTTTGTAACTCGAATCTCAAAATTTCAGCAAATATAACACCAATTATTTTTTTTATTTTTTGTTTTTGTATTACATATATATTCGTAAATGGAATGGTATCTTCGAAAGTGAACAATTGAGACGCGCAGGCATGGTTTTGTGCGTGTGTATGCTCGTGCGTGTGTATGTGCGTGCGCGTAGCGTGTGTTTGTGTGTGTCTGTGTGTGCGCGCACGCGCACACGGGTGTGTGCGTGCGTTAGCGCGCGTGCGTGTGTCAGTATGTTAGGTGTCGGGAGAACGGGAGATTGAAGTAGGAGGAAGTGTAGACAGTAGTAGAACATGTGCGTGTGTCTATCTCTGCGTTTGTTGCGAGGAAGCAAGGTTACAGGAGAGAGGGTGAAAGATCAAAGGAATGAGAGATAAACTCGAGGGGTAGCGTGAGGAGATGTTATTCTCTTTTTCTTTTCTTTTTTTCTTTTTCGTTTCAAGTCGGTCGGGGCGTGGTAGAACGGTCGGAAGTCGAACTATTTGCAGGTGCGCGAGGACTTTCTCGTAAGTAAGGGGCGAGAAATGCGTGCGTGCTCATCATGAAAGCAAAAGAGATAGAGAGAGAAGAAAAGATAGGGACGGGGAAGGAAAGTGAAAGATAGCTGAAAAGGATGTAAGAAATAATGAGAGTAGAATATAAAGAGAAAGAGAGAGGACAGAAAAGAGGAAAGAGAGGGTGTTAAAAAAAAGAAAGATGAAAAAAAAAAAGAAAACGAGAAGTTGAAAGAGACAGGTAGAAAGAGATTGAGAGAGGTAGAGATAGATACAAAGAAAGCCATATAGAGGGAAAGACAGAAAGGGTAT